ATTCCTTCGATTGTTTTTCAACAAGTATTTTTTGCCAACTGATTGGAAATGTGCAGGAGGTCTCATGCATGCAAAACATATCTATACATGATCATAGACATGCATAAACACAGATACGTGTTATTTAGGCTCAAACAACAGGTGTCAACAAGGTGAAAAACCACAACAAGCAGTTTAAAAAAGAATTTTAAAAATCTGCTGTGTATCACTTCAAATGCACTAAAAAACAGCCATTTTGACTAGAAGTCTTCCTGATGTAACATCTGCCTTTGATTTCTGAAATGCAATTCTCTGGGAAAGTAAAAAAGAATAATTCCTCTTGGTGTAGGCAACACATCCTACTCAGAATGATGCAGAGACATGATGACAGGACAAATAAATTTAATAGAAACATCTGTAGTAGAACACTGGGAGCAAACCTTTGCCTAGACACTTGCAAGTGATGAGCAATTCCTTCAATTTTTGGAGCAGAAACATATAGTAATGATGATGATGATGATAATAATAAATGTGAAAGCCTTCTTGATTTCTCCTTTTCTTCCCTTTTCTCCCTCACTCTTGCACATGGGTAGGATGCTTACAGTGATTTTAAGAGAGCCCTTCTGCTCCCAGCAAGTACTTTGAACACACACTTTGCAGCCACAGTTGTCGAAGCAAGAGATATGAGAAGGGGCAGTGATGATGGGAGGGAAGGCATGAAACTGAGTTTGCACAAGAGGTTCAGCCACACAGCATCTGGTCATTATGTCCATCAAATATTTTGGCTTGAATCCAGCTCGCTAAACAGAGTGGTGTCATGGCAATAAGATAAAGGCCTCCGTGCCAAAAGTTTCCATAAAGATTTCTATTCCTCTCTACCCTCTCTAGGTTATATTAAGGATGACCTGACCAGTTGCTGATTTATACATATTTCCTTATGTGTACTACAGAAGCAACATAAAGCATGTGACTGATGAGACACTGGAGAGTGAGATAACCAGCTCTTTGAAACCCTTCAATGTAAAACATCCACAGTGGGTGGTCACATAGCAGGACTTGACTATTAGCTCTTTGCCAAACAGCAGTGAGATAACAAGTCTGAATATCTGAAATTCTTTCCTCTCCAAATGATGTTGACACTATTGCAGAATACCAGGCTTATTTGCATGAATACAAATGAGCTACCCTGAATGCTGCATGGCAGAGCCATGAATCAGCAAGCTCAGCTCCATCATTATCGACTGTGAGACACCAACAGGCATCTTAAAAACATACTTAGATTTTATATTTATGAATCAAGGAAGGCTTTTGTGTTCTCCATTTTGTCCCAGACTCAGCACAGACTTATTACATGATTTGGCCATAATCATGTTATGCAATGCTAAGCCTGTTTGTTCTTGAGATGAAATATGACATTACATACCAAATCTTTCCTTGAATATGTTACTTTCAGATATACCACTATTTGTTTGATTTTTTTTTGTCAAGCAAATTCTGCATGATTACAATGGATTTTTTTTTAATATTATTAGGTTTACAAGTTCTAATGTATTAGTAATTAAAACATAATTGTCTAGAATTTTCCACACTTATGGCTACACTATTTTCAAGAAAAAAACCTTCTCAACTGAAAGCATGATACAAAGGGAGCTTTATATTTGCACAGAAATTGTTTGATAGCAAAATATCCAAGGCTTCTCTTTGAACTCAATTATGCAAATTTAGTAAAATTAAACTAAATATCCTTAAAGATGACATAAAATCATAGTACTTGTGACAGATTTAAAAATTTGTTTCCTCTTCCATTACCTTGGTCTTGGGCAGAATTTTTAAGTGTATTTAACTTACGGGCTCATTTAATGAATTCATTTACTCCTCAGTAGCCTTTCTTTAAATAGATTTGTCTGTTTCAATTCAAGGCATGTGTTGTCTCTGTGAAATTCTACAGAAAAACTATGCAATCATCTTTATTATTTTCTGGAGGATTTGAAAGGTGTAATCAAATTAGCTCAGCAGATTTAAAAATAATAATAGTTGTGAAACATACAGCATAAGCTGTGTTAATTGGAATAATATGTGCTTAAGATAAATCAGGTACTTTTTCCATGGAACTCAGTCTCTCAGGGAACTCAACAATGGATGGCTGTTGCATCCATTTCATATTTACACAATGACTAGAATAAATTTAAAATAATAATTGATTTTGATTATGCTCTAATTGAAGTTGTTATTCAGCACTACCTTTGATTTTCCTAATAAAACCAGCTGGATATAATTTCTTCTTCAGATGTTTTTTGGCATTTCCCTCTGCTGTTCCATTTAAAAATTCTAATATACAATTGTGTGGGTACATAATAAATTAAGAATATTGGTCTTCAAACTTTGTGTAGGTCTGCAAGAAGGTTTTGCCAAATTTTCCTGTACTGGTGTGTCCCAGGTAACCCAAAATGTTATTATATTCCATATCTATCTGTGCCCAAATTTGTTAGTGTTTCTTTGAAATCCTGTGGCCAGAAAAGGAACAGCAAGGTCAAGGTCTGTGCTGGTCCTTTTTTAAGGTTGGAGGCATTCAGGAAAAAGCACTCTTTCTCTTTTATTCTTGCTGGGCAAGCTGAGGTAGCACAAGGCAGACAGCAGCTGCACCACCATGCCAAGAAAAATATAACAGCCCCCACTCCATATGGTTGCCCCAGCCTGCCAGCAGTGCCTGGTCAGAGCAGAAGGGCATGGAATCCAAGTTGTCCAAGCCTGCTGCCCACTGTTTTTGCCAAAGAGAAGGCGAAGTCCCTCCATGAGTTCCAGCTGTTGACACAGTTCCAGCCTCCAGGGACTCTAGGTCTTTCTGTTTTGCTCTTGTTCCCTGTTGGCTGATATTTGGGGAGAAAAAGGAGATTTTTAATTCCACAAGTTTGGTTGCTGTGCTGTTTTTTTCTCTTTGTTCTCTCTCTCCACTCCAGGTCATCTGTGGAGGGAGCCATCCTGGGGGTAAAAGCTGTCTGCCATCTTCCCTTTATCTTTCCACACAGTCATCCATGGAGAGTGCACCTTGGGGAAGGGTTTCTCTGCTGTTTTTGCTTTCCTTTCTTTCTGGGGAGTCCATGAGGAATCCAGGAAATTCAGCAACATTATAATTACTGATTATCACTATTATTTTTTGCCTGTTCGTGTTTCACTTTTCAGTGACTGTTTTAAACTGTTATTTTTTCACTTACATCTTGCATTCATCTCTCATTTGGTGAATGGGAAGTGGTTAAAACTAAAAGGGGAGGTAACTCATTTTAGAGTGTCTGCCACCTTTAATTGTCTTAAACCAAGATAAAGCGTTACTTTAATTTACTCTACAGATGCAATCCTAGATGTTATACTGTTGTTGTTTGGTTCAGTATTTCTGAAAAAGGAAAGGAAGTATGTGTACACAACATAATAAGCATCTTTGTCTGCCTATTATTATTATTGCACATTTATTGTGACTCCTTAGGGAAATCTATGTTTGGCTGAGAATGTAATCACAACCTTGAACAATGAATTTCTGGGATACTCTGTCAAAGAAAATTCATCTTTTCTTCTTCTGTTTGCCTCACCTTTTACATAGCTATGACAGTGTAAGAAAATATAGAAAAAAGTATCTTTATCTGAATACAGAAAGACATGGTTTATTAAAATGAGAGAAAACAGGTTTATTTTGAAGTAATTCTTGGTCTGGAAACAGCCTAACAGGGAAGGTGTTCATTCCAGCTTGCATTTACAATCTTTCAGTCTATGCTATATTTTAAAGAATGAAAATTAGAGGTTAACCTTAAATGTTTTGTATTTCTTAAAAGTATATTTTTATGTAAGTTTTAAAAAATACTTCTATTTCATAAGTAGAAATGAAGAAGTCATTCAGACTAGTATTTGCAGTCAGAGACAGATAAAATATCCAAATATATGGAATTATTTAGATCTACACAATTCTTCATGGGCAACTTCAGGCAGAACAAAGTTTGATAAAATGACGTAAGAGTTAAATTGTAAAAATAATAGTTTGACTTGTATCAAATATGACTTCTATTATTTCCCAAAGTAACATACCAAACTTTTTCTGCATTGTTATCAGAAAAAGCCTACCTCAGAAAATTAAATGCTATGTTTTCACTAGAGACTGGTGCTTATTTCACATACAGAACAATGTGCTGGTAAAATGAAATTCATCTGGGTTCTGTAGAGTATCTTCTCATATTACTGCTATAATAATAATAACAGTGGAACAATAATGTTTGTAGGCAAGATCTATGCTCTTGGCAAGTTGTTCTGCATATTTATCCCCAGTTTGAGAACTTGAGATTTCAATGTGGAAATGGCTGAGACCTTCTGGTACAGAAATTCCAGCTGAACGTCTCACAGTTGTCTTCCCTACATGAAATATGGCATTTAAACAAACACATACATGTGTTTAAATATAAAACTTTCTTGAGCAAGATCCCCTGCATCCTTGCAGTTCCATTAGTGACCCCTTCATCACAGTATTGTAAGTTCTCTGAGATCAGACATAAATGGTAAAAGAACCATGGGTATAGACCTTCCCTTGCCCCCAACTCCCAATTAAAATCATCAAACTTACATTAAGAAATCATGTAAAACAAAGCAAAACAGAAATGAAGAAAGAAGGAAACACAGTCAAAGGTTTTGCTTTAAAATTTCTTTGCAATTAGATTTGATGAGTTGCCACTGATGTGCGAAGTAGCATTTCTTGGTCAATTTATTTCTAATTACATCACTACCTCAGAGCAGTTTTAAAAGACACAGAGGATGATGTATTCCAGTTGAAAATAAACACAGCTGATACTTCAGGTAAGACTGAGAATCAGGCCATTACAAAAGGAAAATAAGATTTCCATTTTATGCAAAAGAAATTTGCTTCCTTCCTTCCAAGTCCTTTGCCTTTCACCATGCTGAGCACCTACATGTACTGGGCACAGTAAGGTACCCTAACACATGCACATGAAAGCAGGTCCAGGCAATGCACTTTGATGCCAACCTACCATTCTGATGCCATTCTCAAAGGCCTGACGTGCCAGAGAAGCAGGTCCATCCACAGTCTTGCCATCATCATCAGGCCCCCAGCTGGCGCTGTAGATGTGGATATGCTGGGGATTAAGGCTTAGAGACTTTGCTTCCACCATATCTGTCACATCTCCATCCAGCATCCGTACACCTTCAGAATTAAAAATACAATGAACTGTACAGACAAACTCAAAATGTTTCTTTCTCACCGCTCTCTCACCCAGAGGAAATGGTTGTCTGCGACACTGAACTGAATAATTATAATTCCTACTGTTATTAAAGGAAAAAAATCCCAAAACAACAAAATCTGGTTTGTTGGGGTGTTTTCCCAATACCTCTAGATAGAAAAAAATATAAAAAGGTATTAATATTTTCACCCTTCTTCAAGTATTAAAAATTATATAAAGTAATTTATCCACTATACACCTTTCAAATTTATACAACAAAGTTTAGGCTAAATAAAATTTAAAAAAATATTTGAACCTTGAAATTTTTTTATGTCACTTAAAGAAAACAATTTTCTTTCTCCTTTCATACTGCAGTGAAACTGCAGCACCTTCCTTGAGTCATTCACAGTTTCAATCATGTTAGCAGATGTAATAAAAGGATCCCTACAGACAAGTAACCTTGGCATCATTCCTTCATTGTATGAGGCCACAAAGAAGAAATTGGTGAGAAGTCTCTCGTGTACAGAACAATTACCACACACTGTAGCACAGCAATTACAAGAGGTTATGAACAAATACGTAGCATTGTTCAACCTGAAGTTACAATATGGTGAACATCCCTCTCTTGCAGAAGAAGATTTTGTGAGGTATAATCTGAAATTCTTATGTTAAAATAATCCATTCATGTGAGTTTGGACAAGTCAATGTGCCAGCACTCCATGATGTTTTAAGAATACTAGACTCAATATAGTATGCTGAAATCTGAAAACTGAGAAAATATGGAAGTTGGTTCTTTTTCTAACTGTAAAACTTTGTGGTTAAATCTGAGAAAACCACCAATGCCAGTTTTAACATAAACAAGAAAAAAGATCTACACACAGCTAGTGTGACATGTGATCAAAGGGAGGCTAAACACTATATAAAAATGTAATAAACTTGTATGATAGAGGGATGATCACTTCCACAATTTACAAGCTAGATGCTCTTTCCTGTTTAAAAGGCCAGTCCAATTTATAAGCCAAATTTGCATATTTTAAATTACAGACACAATGCATTTTCCTTATGAGCTCAGATTAAAGAAACTTGTGTGTTTATCAAGACTTTAACTTCCAATTAACAAGAGACATAGGAGTGCTTTGTTGATTTTCTTCCTCCTTACTCTATTTGACTAAAAAATGAAAAGTGATTATATTTCTCAGTTCACATAGAAGTTGCCTGTATTTTATGAGATAATAAACTTCAACAAACTGTGATCTCACTATGAACTTTGCTTTATAAAAAAGAGTAATTAAAACAACTTTGGGATTCTAGGACTTAATTTTCTTCTGCATAATCGCAGAAAATTAATGATGGGTGAAAGTTGTGTGCTCAGTTCCTTTAAAGCATATTAAAGTATCTCTCTAGTTCTGAAAAAAAAGGTACACTGGTTTTTAAAGAAGGAAAATAAAGCTTTCCTTTATGACAGTGTTAGCAAGTCTAAATATTATATTCAACCAATGAATAATAACTCCAAATGCTGCCACTGGCACCTAAAGTAATTCACACTATTTTTTTTGGTAATGGTGAAGTGGTCTACTTTTAAAGCAATACAGGCAAGGCTGTGACTTAGGTGTTGTTCTCTGTAGCCAACAGACAGACATGCTTCGAAGCTGTTGGCCAAGGCCAACTGTGAAGTTCAGCCAGGCCAAGTGCCAAGTCCTGCACTTCAGTAAAAACAAGTCCATGCACCATAACAGGCTGGGGACACAGTGGCTGCAAAGTGGCCCAGGGATAAGGACCTGGGGGTGCTGGTTGACAGCCAGCTAAACACGAGCCATCACTTTGGCCAGGTGGCCAAGAAGGCCAATGGCATCCTCGCCTGTGTCAAGAATAGCGGCCGGCAGGACCAGGGAAGTCATTGTCCCCCTGAACTTGGCCCTGGTGAGGCTGCATCTGGAGTTCTATCACCAGTCTGGGCCCTGCACTTCAAGAAAGACATACGGGTGCTGGAGGCTCAGGGGAGACCTTATTGCTCTCTACTATTGTCTGAGAGGAGGTCACAGTGAGGCGGGGGTTGGCTTCTTCACCCAAGGCAACCAGTGACAGGATGAGAGGACATAGTCTCAAATTGCACCAGGGGAGGTTCAGGATGGACGTCAGAAAGAATTTCTTCACTGAAAGTGTTGTTTAAGCAGTGGAGCAGATTGCTCAGAGAGGTGGTGGAATCACTGTCCCTGGAGGCATTCAAGAACATGGCACTTAGTGTTGTGGTCCAGTTTACAAGGTGGTGGTGATTAGTTGAAGGTTGGACTTGATGACTTTGGTCTTACCCAATCTAAATGACTCTGTAATTCTGTGCAAGATGACATTTAACAAGAGACATCTCATTGGCTATTTGCAATGAAAATAGTGTTCCTTCCCGTCTTCCTATCCCACTCCCAATGTCTGCAGTGGTTAAGTCTACACATCCTCTAAAGTGAATTTGGCATGTGGTGAGAGAACAACAAAAGCTATCCAAAATGCAATTAGCAGACTGTATTTTCAGACTGTTTCAAGACTTCAGAGCCCTATAAACTTTTTCTAACATTTACAGTAATTGCAAAATGTAAGTGGCTTTTTACTCGGAACAAATTTTCAATGAATCACAGGAAACATGCAAAACTAAGCTGAAAGGAAGATTTCTTTTAAAATGCTTGTTTTTATTCAACATCTGATTTAAACTTAAAGAAACAGCTGAACTAATCCTCATCAACTGAAGACAATATACATCTGTTGTGCCATAATTCAGTGTAACTGTTTTCAGGACTTGAGCCCAGCCAAGTATCTAAGCACCCAAATCCCCACAGATGTTTTACAACTTCACAATCAGTTTGCAATAATAACAGCAAGCTAACTAACCCTTCCTATAAAAAGTCTCACAAGCCCTGTATGTGGTAATTTGTTTTGTGTAATTACTGCAGAGTTTAAAGCTAAAAAAAAATTTAAAAAAATCCATCCCTTTGGTGGACTGGTTTGTCTTTCAGTGAGAGGGACCTGTAGCTTAGCTACACAGAAACTGGCAAGATTTTTTATAAGAGACTTTTCATAACCTGTAAAAAAACCTGAAGACCTAGATTGCAATTTTACTAAAATTTTCTTTTCTACAGGTTACATCCCCACTTGCACCATTCTGAAAGAAGGCTCAGACTTACTAACAAACTTGGACATCAGAGGTTCTTAAGCGTTTGGAAAAGAGACAAGGAGTACGTACACTTTTAGAAGAAAATTAGCATTATTAATGGATATATTGTTAACAATTTCTCATCAGAAAGATCATTAACTGGATTTATTAAACTGCCAGTATTTTATGGCATATTGATGGGGCAGTTTTTTCTTCTTCCCTTTTGCTTGATATCCTTAATATCTCTTATGTGTCCAGAAATGCTTTCTGGTTTGAAGTAAAAGATACTTATCTTGGTGGAGCAAATCCAACATCATTGTCAGCAGGTGCTCCTCTATATAAGGAGAATGTAGTTGTTTTACCTCAACTCTAGTTTCTTCTCCAAGAACACCCCAGGAGGGCCTTTAAATCCCTGTGAAACAAGTGAGCTGAATACTACTTCAGCACGATATGATTAAAAAATTTTATATTTTATCTGGCCTGTAGAGAGGGAACACAACCACTGTATATTCATATGTGTAGCTGATGGCTGCTCTGAGGGAAAGGAATGAGGCATGCCAAGTAGAGGTCAGCGGCAGCAAGGCTCTTAAACATATTCAACTAGTGTAAGAGGAAGTTTAACCTACCTTCCTCTTAACTCTTGATTTTCTGCAGATTATCTGTTGAGCTTCTTGAAGTCTTATTTCCAAATGCTGCTCCATTTAAAAGGTGGCACCTCAAGTGAGGTTTATACACTGTTACTAATTTGCAGCTTTCTTTTAAGAATAAATAATAAAAAGGCACAGGTATCTAGCCTTTACTGTTTCTATTACCTGTATATTGTGTCCATCTGAATCAGTTTTTACACTATATTTAGAAAAGACTGTGAGTCAGCTAATATGCCTGCAGGGTATTTATTACTATTGCATACTCCCATGCTTAATAACTAATAAACTATTAAGAAGCCACTGTTACTTTTGGAGAACTTTTCAAAGCCATATCAAAGCTGTCACAGGTTGTGTGACTGTTCCACTCAAAAAATGAAACTCTGCCAGAAGGCATCTCTTATTTCCATCAGTGCATTAACTCTATTCTGACTATGGTTTGACAACCCAACATACCTCACAGCATAACTGCTGGAACACAGTTAAATGCCATGTTCACATGAGACAACCTGTTCTTCTGTCACAGACTCCCTCAGTTGACTAGTTCTGATTTTCTAAACTACTCTGACAGGGTAGCTTTGTGCAGGAAGGCTCTTCACCTGAGGGGAAATTTTTTTTCAGCATCACTGTAACCTTATCCTGGATCTGGTATTACTTACCCTAATTTTGTTTACCCAGCAGGAAAACAGAAAGCTGATGTGAGGATGATGTTGTGTGCTTTGGGTAATTTGAAATGCATCTGTGCTCACATTTGATTTGTATCAAACTCATACTGATCCAGCAGAGAATAGATGCAGTATTTTTAATAATGGAAACGTGGTCTCAGTTCTGCCAGTTCATATTTTTGAACTGTCCTCTGGTGTACAAATAGCTAAGCATGTTTCTGTTTTCACAGATGGGCTCTACTTTAGGCTCTATTTTGAACGGCAACAATTAATGAGCTTGAGCTACAAACTCAGTCTTTCAGCTGAAAGCCAATATACCAATACCATGACTTTGTTGAAAGTTCTGAATAAACTTCACTAGAAATATTACAATCTGTCGCAGGTACGCTACATCCCAGGAGACATGCAGATGACATCTTGATAATCATTGCCACAGACTAAGCTAAAGACTTAAACAGACAATGACTAAGAATTCACAGAAAACACTTGAAACCTCTTGGCTGAATGAACAAAAATATGTGATCAAACATTGATTTTCAGGCAATAAACTTATAGGGACATACATAGGGATCAAAAGAAGATTCTCACCAACCACAGACAAACAAAAAAATGTGTTATGTTTTGAGAGTATTTCATTTGGGATCAATATGCAAGGCAATATTACTGATGGGTACTTCTACTTACAATTTGTTGAAGTTCATCACTTAAGAGCTCTGAATCTGTGAGAAAACCCCAATGTCCTAATTCCAGGGTCATGTTTTCATCAAAAGTTTGTTATTCTATTTTTTGATGTGTACTGGGAGGCAGTGCTCCAGACAGCACTGCAGAAGGGCCACCACAGACAAACTCCTTCAGTATTGATATTGAACAACCACTCTAAAGCTGAGCTTTACTAGTTAACACAGTGAGGCTTATTCATACAAATCTCCTTCTCTTGTTTAGAAAGGTCTGAATGCACCATTTAGCACAAATGGCTCTTTGGTTAATTTTTTTTTTCTGTGGGGGATTGCTTCACATACCTCCAATCTTGGCATTAAAGGCGATTCCTACTGTGCAGTGTGAGTTGTTTGCTGTGGCTGCCACTTCTCCAGCACAACGGGTTCCATGCCTGCAGTCAGACAAACATTTTTCCAGGTAAGCACAAACCATTGGAATTAAAGGCTTTGATTTTGCTTATCCTCAGGTGCTAAATGAACAGCTACCCATCACGTCTTGCACTATTTAACCCCTCACAGCAATTTATACCCATGTTACAATGTTCCTCTGAACATGTTTTTACATTACAACAATCAGTTTAAACTCTTTGTGCCTACTGGAAACACTCACAGTTTGTAATAAAGACATACAGCAATGATACATAATTCAAAGCAACAGAAATGAGACTTAGATACTGGTTCTCAATTTTGAGCAAAATCCTACATTTAAACAAAATGTTTGTCCAGAATACTCTAACAACCACTCCTACTGCTAGTATGTGTATGTCCATCCAACCTCCAGCAAGCACAGTATGCCATGAGAAAGATGACGTTGCACAAATGCCCACACTGCTGTTTAGAGGTGAGGCTAAGACTGTATGCCAGGTATGCTCAAAGCTTAGGCACGTCTTGGTCCTGCCTTGGGCCCATGCTGCAAGCCTGCTTGCCTTTCTGGGGGCAGTAAAAATGTCAGAAGCACCCTTCACATCAGAGATATGCTCTGTGCCTGGAAGCAGAGCTGAGCTGTAAGTATTCAATTTGAAGAAGATGCTGAAGGAAAACACAAAATATCCAGTGGTTGCTCACCCCCCTCCCCACTGTGCAAAGCCACAAAGCTTTGCCTAGTCTTGATCTATGTGCTCTACAAGGCGACAGTGGCCATCCATATTGTCCCCATGACAGGAAAGCTGCCCCTATGTTTTTTGGTTTTTGCCTTTAACATGGGTTTCACAGGGTGTGTTCTACTAACAAATCATGCCCTCACCCTAGTGCAGTTAAGCAGCTCCATTGCAGAAATGGGACACGAGCAAGATGGAGCAGGCAGGGAACTTTAGAGAGGTGTTATGAAGGGGAGATACAGAGTTTCAGACCAGACAGGAAAAGAGATGGGGAGTTGATAAGACATAGACAGAAAGATAATATAAGGCTTGGGTAGCCAAAAAAAAAAGAATTTTAAGTCAAAGGGAGAAATAAAAAACTACACAGCAAGCATTTCAGAGGAGGCTAGCTGAGATCAGTTGTGTACACAGACACTTTTCCTGGTGGTGGTTGAGAGACTTGCTTGCACACACATCTGGAGAACACAGCTGCTTTTTACTGAAAGTTGAGGCAAATTACAGACAAGAATCACTGCTGCATTCCCTTGGTACAGCTTGTTTTGGGAAGAGTCATTCCTTATTTCATTATTATTAGAGTATTTTTTCCCCCTTACCCTTTTAAGACACCTAGATGGGAGATATTAAGATGATTTGTTTGGAATGGATTCATGTTAAACAAGAACAACAGGTAGGACTAGGAAAAATAAGAGAAAAAACAAAAAAATAAGCAATATAAATGATCAACGCTAAACCACTAAAATGTCAAAGAATATAATTCAGTTTATTTGACAAGTAAGATATGCATAATCTATAAGAAAAGTGTAACCTCTATTCACAAAATCAAACTGACAAGTTGGAAACCGATTCATTCTAAAGCTGTATCAAGATTTCACTATTATATTACCTCAACAAATTTCCTATTGATCTTTCACAATTCATTATTTGGTTGCCAAACTTGACCAGAGAACTTTTCAAGAACTTCACGAAATTTGAAGTTTATTTTTCATATGAAGACTTATTTTAAATCCTAACTCTTCATTTGAAAAAAGCCTGTTTGATTTTAATTGGTAAATAAATAGTCTTACCCATTTACAGAATTATTTTGAAAAGTCAGAAGTAAATAATTCAAAAATCACAGATGAAAACAAGTTTTGAAAAGATCCTTCAAGTATTTTCAGATAGTCTTCTAGCTCTGTGTTTGAAGTAAAGTTTTTTAAAAAGGTCTTATTATTTAAATGGAAAGATCTGTCTTAAAAAGTTTTACATTATATCCAAACATCCCTTCTTTTCATTATGATTTTGTTAGGTGTCACATGCAACTTTTCAGGTGTTATCACTCAAACATCAAAGCACATACAACTATACTCTAGAAAATGTAGACATACCTGCAGACATCAGCTTAGTGCATATAATTTATTAATAAATCATTCCCTGCCTGGTGAAAGGCATGTGGCTAAACTGCAGCTTTCCAGATGGAGACTGCACTGCCAACAAATCCCTCATGCGTACCAAGCTTGGGAAAAAGTGATGGGAGGAAGGTCTTTCAGTAGAGAAAGTGAATGGATAGAAGCCACACCTGAAGGAGGGAGGCTGCCTGGAGAAGAATGGAACAAACAGCTCAAATTTCTCCTTGGCTCCAAAGGGAGTGTATGGATACCTGCTACTTTGGTAGCTACATCCAACAGGCCCTGTCAAAAAGATTAGATTTCCACTGTATCATCAAACATGCTGGTTACCCCAGGGCCAAGTAATGTGTGCAACATTAGTTCTGCTCACACCTCTTGGGATGCCCTTTTTCTCAGAGGGGGAAACTTCTTGTGCATAAAAACAATGCATTAGTACTAAGAAATAAAAACCCGATGCAGCCATTATTATAAATTAGAGCAGAATCCCAGGGATGTAAGCTGTAATGTGAACTAAACTATGTGGTTGGTAGAGATTGAAAATTATAGGAACAAAGGAACTTTGAATGTTTTAACAATTTTCAATCATATGGAAAGAAAAAGAATGGAAATTTGGGTAGCTTTTGGTATTCATAGGAAAATAATCAGAGAATGTGAGTTAAAATTTATTTTTTGCAAAACTCTTCTTTAGTTAAACTTTCAAATGTTTTCAAAGTTGTCTCTTAAACTGCAATATAATCCTCAACAGGAAATGTGGTATCTGAAGGGTTACAATGTAATAACAGCTGGAGAAAAAACATATTTTAACAGCAATCATCAGAAATGCATGCACTTTATTGAATCCCAGACCAATGTCTTATATAGCACTGAAAAAATATTATTTTAAAGCTGTTCATATATAAATGTTCTCTAATAATCTGGAGGGTGGAAAACACTTTCCAAATTAACACTAGGTTGGAATGCTGTTCTAGGAACATCTGAATAAGGACATAAAAAGGAACTGTCACACATTAAAAGCATAGGCAAGCAAAATATCAATCTTTTGCCTTCAAAACATAATCTGCTACAGCTGAAAAATAGCAACAATAAAGCTACTTCCCAAAGGAGAGATATTTGGATATTAACAGTGGAGAAAGATGACAGAGTAAATATGAAAAACAAGTTACACAAATCTTCAGTGTGACATATCAAGAAAAATGCCAAAGACCTGGGTGTCATCACAGGCAGGATACTATTTCTCAGCATCACGGTGTTGTAATGTGGTTACAGCACAGGACTGGAAGATCTCCAGTCAACGTCCCCAGGGTTAATGACTTTTTGCATGATTATGGGAAGCTGATTTTAGAACAACTTGAAAATAACTCATTTATTTCTCACAAAATCAAAGATGACAGCATTAAAACAAACACATGGAACACTTCACACATCAGACACGCAAATTTGAAACTTAACAGCACCGGATAACAGCAATGCTGACTTGCCACTCTCTTAGCATTTGTTAGCTATTAGCAGTTAATTTGTCACAAGTGTGAAGTTCTGATACAAGCCTAGGAAAGGAATATGCCTCTACAATTTAATTAGCATTTTACAGTTTTGTTTTAGTGAGTGGGAAAATTAACTGAACATATAAAACAAATATGCCTTTTTTCTTTATTTTCAAAACAAAGAATGAATAGACGGTCTGATGGAGCAAATGAAATAAGATGTAGAATAAAAAGTATCTAACAAAATCAACAAATAATATATTTAGTCAAGTATATAGTTCAATGTATTGAAAATAAAAATTTTTTACTGATGACTTAATATGCTTTAACCAATGGGAAAATTTTAATTCAGCCTCTCTTCTGGAAGGAAAAAAACATTGGTGAGAATAAATAAAACAAATAAAAATAAATAAAACAGTTCAATCACCATCAATAAAACAGTAAAATTTTCAGCTGAGCTTTTTTCCTCGTACTGCCTTTCATGCTAACTGTACAGTAACCTTCTTAAGGTGGGCAATCCAACTCTTCCTCTTAAGTCACTAAAGCAAATCTCAAATAAAGCCTGTACAGATTAGGTCCTGTGCTCTGGAATTAAACCTGTTCAGCAGTAACATCAAGGCTAGTACCTTAGGAGGCTATATGACTACCTAGACATACCTAATGAAAAGCACTACTTCGTCTACTTTTGAAACTGAACCATATGAGGCTGCTTAGACTTCAAGACTCCCCTGCCACATAAGGAAAATGCTCTTTTCCTAAACAAATGCAGGCTGGTTGAGAGGCTGTATAAAGGGTAGAAAATCCTAGAACAAGGCAGTTACAAGCAATTCTGGCAGTCTCTTTTTGTACAGCCTAAAGAACAGAGAAAAGGAGGCTCAGGGAACCTTATTGCTCCCTACAAGTCCCTGAAAGGAAGGTAGCCGGGGTGTAGTCTCTTCCCCCAGGCAACAGCAACAGGACAAGACAACACAGTATTAAGATGCACCAGGAAGAGTTTAGGCTGGACATTAGGAGGAGTTTCGTCACAGAAGGAGTGATGGGGCATTGGGATGGGCTGCCCAGGGAGGTGGTGGAGTCATTGTCCCTTGCAGTGTTTAAGAAAAGACTGGATATGGCACTCAGTGCTGTGGTCTAATTGACAGGGTGGTGATAAGATCATAGGTTGGACTCAACGATCTCAATGATCTTTTCCAGCTTACTTAATCCTGTGATTCTGTAGCACAAGCACTTGAGAAGCTGGGAACCAACTACACTTTTCTCATTATTAATCTCTGAGATTTAGACAGCTTTATCACTTTGCTAATACAGAAAAAAGGACAAACAAAAGCCCAAGTTCAGATCTTGCCAGCAAAATGGTAAGGGGAACAACTACATTATGCATTTTAATGAGGGAAAATGGACAAAATCAGGAATATGTTTTTATACAAGG